CCTTTGACTTGAGTCTGAGTTTGTTTCCAGCAACACAAAGGGCAGCCGTGCTCAGGCTGGGGTCTTACTTGGGGGACAGTAGCAGCAGCCGGAAGATTGATGGGTTCCCGGGACCGTCACATCCCTCTGGTGCCAAAAGCGGCAGCTGGGGGCCTGCACCACCTGTAGGCAGTCAGCAAAGTGGCAATTCCAGCTGCAGTCCTTCCACACTTCACACCGACGGCCGCGGACCTCCTGAATGGCCATGCGGGGCCTCCCACTGTCCACACGCGCCCATCCTCAGTTACTAGAGAGAATAAATTCCCAGCAAAAATCCACACTCTGATGCAGAGGCCGCTCCAGGCTGGCGGCAACACTTCAGCTCACCTCCTGTCACTCTCCTGGGCAGCGGGCCCTCCTCCGTGCCTCGGTGTCAGCCAGCGAGCGTTTCCTGTTACTGATGTTGTTGGCATCACTGATCAATGCGCCTCTTTCCTGCTCACACCTCCTTTCTCGCCCGTCTTCTTCCTCGCCCCAAAGAAAGAAGTGCTTCAAAACTGTTCCTCCCAGGAAAAGCGAATGAATAGTGATAGAAGTCAGAAGTACTGTACTTCTTGGGGGGCAGAAGTACACTCTGAGAAGGGGCATGAGGAACCTTCTGGAAATGTACCTCAATCTGGGTGGTGGTTACATCATTGGTGTGTACATATGTGAAGAGTCGTCCAGCTGTACACTTTTTAAATATATATATATTGATTTCAGAGAGGAAGGGAGAGAGATAGAGAGATAGAAACATCAATGATGAGGGAGAATCATGGATTGGCTGCCTCCTGCATGCCCCCTACTGGGGGGGGCGGGAATCGAGCCCGCAACCCGGGCATGTGCCCTTGGCTGGAATTGAACTTGGGACCCTTTCGTTCGCAGGCTGACGCTCTATCCACTGAGCCAAACCAGCTAGGGCTGTACACTTAATATTAATGCACATTAAGCCCTTCAATTTATAGAGATGCCACAGAGAGCTTTATAAGCAAAATAAATGACAACAACAAAAACCACAAGGAAAGTTTGGAGTCATAGGAACCTGTGCTGAAAATCTGGCTGTTTTCTAGCTGTGTGACCTTAAGTGAGTTGCCTAACCTCTCTGAACTTCACCTTTCTTATTGAGGTGTGGACTGTGAGGATTAGAAACATCACTTTAAAAAAAAAGTACTTGGCACAGGGCTGGCTCCTACTGGGTGCTCAATTCATAATCATTTTCATTATTATAACCAGTGGCCCCACAAGGACAGGATATGGGGTGCTCTTCCCTGCGTGCAGGCAATAAGAGGGCACACTGTCAACAGAAAACTTAAAGATAAAATAAAGTTGAGGTGAAGCCAGTCTGCCTTCTGTTATCACCAAGCACTGGCAAACCTCAGTAATGTCAGTCATGAAGTATTCTGTCCCCAAAATATCTTTTTTCCCCTAAGTTCTCAACAATTGATATGGTAACTGTTGAATATTATTAATACACTAGAAGCCCGGTGCACAAAAATTTGTGCACTGGCAGGTGGGGGGGTCCCTCAGCCCAACCTGTGCCCTCTCACAGTCTGGGACCTGTCAGGAGATAACCACCTGCTGGCTTAGGCCCGCTCCCCTGGTGGCAGATGGCATGCCTGATCCAGCGGTGCCTGCCCCATCTCCCCCGGTTGCACACGGCAGGCCTGGATCCTGCGTTGGGTCCGGCAGCCGCTGGGATTGTGCTGCCGCCCGCCCCGCCCGCCCCGGGCCGCACACAGCAGGCCTGGATTCCCTGCTGGGGCAATCGGCGGCTTGGGATCGCACTGCCGCCCACCCTGGGCCGCACATGGCAGGCCTGGATCCCGCGCTGGGGCGATCGGCGGCTCGGGGTCGCACTGCCCCCCCCCCCCACGGCCGCACACCACAGGCCCGGATCCCGTGCTGGGGTGGGCGGTGGCTCTGGATCATGCTACCTCCAGCCCCAGGCAGGGCGGCGCAGCGGGATCTTCCTGCAGTATGCAAATTATCCGCCATCTTTGTTAGCGGTTAATTTGCATATCACGCTGATTAGCCGATGTGAGGTGTAGCGAAGGTATGGTCAATTACCATGTTTGTCTATTATTAGATAGGATATGTAAGCTTGGAATGAGCACGTTTTCATTTCTGGTCCTTTAATAAACATATTCTACATGGACGTTCACTTGGAGAATTTCTAGAATAGCTGTCCCCAACGCACATGGACTCAGGATCACACATTCTCTGGGAAAGTTCCTAACAGTTTGGAACTTGCTCTTGCTGCAGGGAAGTTCCTGTCTCCACCTCCCACCCCAGTGTCACATATTTCTGCATCTCAACAGCAGGTCCAAGAAACAATGCCTGCAGAGTGATGGCGAAGACGAACGTACGGGTTTTTCAATCCTGACATTCTGTGTGGCTACTTGGTATGCTGGTTGGTGCTTAAAATTTAAAACAGGGGAAGGGTGGCCTTGGAGGATAATGACTGGGTTTGGTAAGTGCAGATTTTAGTTCACACATGAAATATATTTGTTTCATCTCATGATTATTACTGAAAATAGTTTTGTTGTATAAAGAAAGTGGGGTATTAAAAAATAAAATACTCTAAACATGCCTGACTAAAATATAAGAATCTATCAATCAATCAATCAATCAATCGGTGTATCTCTCCTTCCCTCCAAGTCTGTAGAAACCCCATCTACCCTTGGCCACTTCGTGATCAAAACCTGCATTTTCATCTTCGTCCTTGTGAACGCTGAGAAAAAAAGACATCTACTAAGAAGGGCTCCTGGTGACCAACTGGTGACCAACTGGCTCAAACAAACAAACAAACAAACAAAGCCAGAGCCTAGCAGCCATTTCTGCACAGGGCCTCTCACTCACAGAGAAGCCTGTCCTGGACTGCCCAGCTCTCCACTGTGTCTCCCCTCTGAGCCAGCCCTTATAAAGGAGTCCCTGGAATCCTATTTCAACCAGTAGAACAGAGGCTTTCCCCATCCAATCAGAACTGCACAGCTCCAGCCAATCAGAGTGGCTCTATTCTGACCAATCAGGACAGAATATTTGGACCAATCAAACTGTGAGGATCTGAGTACTCATTTGCATGAGGATAAACTAATCAGGCACCCTGGGCAGGGACTCCTGTCCATATAAGCCAGCTCCCTTCTGGTTCAGAGAGCGCATGTTCCCTTTCTACCAAAGACTGAAGCTTGCATCTCCCTGGCTGAGCTGGAGCACTGAAGATGTCTCACCAGAGCGGTGCAGACTGAGTACACCAGCAAGAAGCAGAACAGAGCAGACCCTCACGCAGAGCTGAGCTGTCTAGCTGTGGCACAGTTGAGCTTTTTACACTGAATAAAGTTTCCTTCCAAATTGGGCATTCCTGTTGGCATTGAATTGGCACCAACGACCATCAGTTGACATCCTCCATCCCCATCATCTTCTTCCCTTACGGCTGCATACAGAAGGGTATCAACCACCTGCTGAAAATCCCTCAGTCTCACACCGATATCAAGTACTGGTGGAGATTTAGGGGGTCAAAGGCTTCCCCATCCACTCCTTGACATCACCTCTATTATCTTTGTCAAAGTCTACAGTCAAAGCTCATGTCTTTACATCCCCAACCCCCCAGTGGTGTCCCCAAATACTCGGGGCTTAAATTGGGGTCTCTTACTCCTCACATTACACCACTCCCCTCCTCACGGTCAGCCCCAGTCTCCTCCTCACAGTCAGCCCCAGTCACCCAGGCACCTTGAGCTCCTCGACTAGGCAATGCTATCATGCTCTCTCCCACCATTAGGCTTATGCATGTGCTGGTCCCTCTGCCTGGAATATTCTGACCTCTCTGACCCCATCTTTTATTTTTAATATATTTTTATTGATTTCAGAGAGGAAGGGAGAGAGAGAGAGAGAGAAAAACATCAATGATGAGAGAGAATCATTGATTGGCTGCCTCCTGCATGCCCCCCACTGGGGATCAAGCCCTCAACCTGGGCATGTGCCCTGACCGGGAATCTAATCTTGACCTCCTGGTTCATATAGGTCGATGCTCAACCACTGAGCCACCCATCTTTCCTTGGCTCTCTGAAAACGCACCTTCTTCAGAAGGCTGTCCTTCACCCTCACTCTCAACAAGGACCCCTCCTCAGTGTGCACAGAAATTCCACCTGTTTTCTCACTGTCATCTCCTGCGCTGGGCTTTGACCCAAAGTCTGTATTGTGTATCCAGTCCCTGCAGAGGGGCCCTCAGAGATGGCTGAGCTACATGAAATGGATTTGGTTCTTCCAGATCAGCTGGTAGTGCCCAGCATGCGCCGGCACGCAATAGATCCAGCCTGTGTGGGTTCATCCACCGCGGCCGCCTGCCAGAGCCCAGGAAGCAGGCCCTGGGGAGGCCCCTTGTTGCCAAAAGCAAACAGGCCGCCAGGGAAGTTTTGCTCTGGGTCACACCCGCCTCTGGGTGGCTGGCTGCCAATCCTCCTGCCAGAAACCGCAGGCCCTCCGAAGCCGCCCAGAGACCGGGCCACAGCGCTTTGGAGGACTTGGGTCAGCTCTGCTAAGGGGGTGTCTGCCCAGCACTTCCTGGATCCACAGCCCCCCGGGGTTGGGCAGGGGGTCTGGGCAGGGCTGCAGCAGCTACAGCCAAGGCTTGGGAAGGCCCTCGTGGGCTGGGAGGAGCTACAGAGGCCCCTGCCAGCCTGTCACAGGCTCTCAGGCTGACATTGGCTCTGGCTTTCACACACACACACTCACACTGGCTCTGGCTTTCACACACACACACTCACACTCACACACACTCGAACACACACTCGCACACACTGGCAGGCACCCGGTAAATGGGCTCATCAGTGGGAGGCTAAGGATGGGGAGAGGAGCACGGAATGCAAAGACTAATGTGCATGTAAATGTGCGTGTGTGCATGTGTATGTCTGTGCGTGTGTGTGTCTGTGTGTGTGCGTGTGTGTGTCTGTGCATGTGTGTGTGTGTCTGGGAGTGACCTCACAGCCTCCGGAACATAAAGACTTACAGGTCCTGCCTCCCAGGCTCAAAGCTGGCTCCGTGGGGGACACAGTGACATGAGAGGCACACCACAGACCCACCTCCTGGCCGTCTCCTTCCTCTGCCTCCTCTCTAAGGTAAGGGGGCCCGGGCCCCGAAACCTACCGCTGGCTTCCATACCGCTGGGGGAGGTGTGAACTCACTGCCAAGGAGCCCCGCAGGGCCCGTGCTGGGCACAGCCAGGCTTCCCTCTGGGTGCCCAGACAGCTGCCCCGGGCCAGCCCTCTGTGTGCCTGCAGGCAAGTCCCTTCTCGCTGAGCCTCAGCGGCTTCCTCGCTTGAATGGGCACAATGTCCGTGAGGTCTTTGTGAAGATCCTTTCTGAGAATCCATCCGAGGTCTCTGCACAGGACCTGGCACATGGCAGAGTTCAGAAGAGGACTTTTCTGATTCTTACCAATCCCGACAATCCTTCCACAACGCAGTGGTGTCCTCCTCGCAAATGAGACTCAAGAGATGACCTGCTTTGCCTAACAACGAGCCAGGATTTTAATGGATGTTGGTGTCTACCTCATTGGAAAGGTCATTCTGCAAGGGCTTTAATGCTGTGGGCCCTCAGGCAGTGAGTGACCTCTGACCCTGGCTAGAGGGGACAAGGAGATTCCTCCATAAAATAATGCCTTCCCTTATGGGACATTTTCCAAAGAATTTGTGGAATGTCTACCTTGCCCAACAACACTATCAGGAATTATTAGTGTGTTTTCAGCCAAGCAAGGCTCAGAGAGGGTAAGCAAGTTGCCCAAAGCCACACAGTCAAGAAACATCAGTGCAATAGAGGAGGTGGAGCCCAGGATAGGCCTGGGTGTGTGGGTGGGGGCTGGGGACTTCAGTTTCTATCTATCCACCTCCAACCTGGACCCCAGTTGTTGGGCCCTGTCATCCCCTCAGCAAATGCTGTTCCCAGTCCCGTGGGGATTGGCCCCGCCCCAAGCCATGATCTCACTGTATTTTCATGCTTCTTTAAGGAGCTTGTGCAGGAGTTTCTCCCTCCCGCTCCCACGCTGTGGTGCGGGGAAGGCTGAGAACCCTGCTGGCACCCCAGCCTGCTGTTTGTACTGCCAAAGGGGACACTATGCCAGGGTGGGTGGCTGGGGTGGTTGGAGCAGGGGACTTGGGGTTTGGGGCCCAGGATTAAATGAAAGACCAACATTAAGCCGCCCCCGACTTGCTGTGCACCCCTTCATTCTTCCTGGGTCCCAGGGAGCAGGCAGCATCCCACACAGAACACAGGGACTTGGTCATCACGAACATGGAAAGCCACCACAATCCTCAGGGAAAGCATGCCTTGTCCTCCGGGCAGGTGGCCCCGGGCTCAGGGCTACGGGCAGAGGTTTGGGGCAGAGACTAGAAACAAGCAGTCACACTGACTGGGAGCTGGCCTGACTCACTTAGTCCCTGTCACTACTCCAGGGTAGGGGGCCTCCCCCCCCACGTCACTGAGGAGGGAACAGCTCCCTCCCCACGGAGCAGTGAAGGGAAGAGCTCACAGTCACACAGCAAGCCAGTGTCTAAGCTCAAACTTAGACTTCAGCTCTTGCCCAGAAGATTCCATGTCCAGGGCTCTGACCACAGAGCCTTGCCTCCTGGTGACCACAGCAAGGGGCTGGGGAAACCAAGGGTGTAATGGGGCAACTTGAACAGAGGGATGGAGTGGTGAGGATGGATGCGGAGATAGAGGAAGGCCAGAGAGGGCTATGCTGAAACACTCTCCCTGACTTGTCATTATTCCCCTTGGAGAAATGGGTAAACCGAGGCAGGGGCTAAACTGGCATCAGAGCCCCAGAGAACAAGAGGGGAGCATGGCCATTAAGAGCCTGGGCCTGGGGTTCCCAGGACCCTGGATCCCAATCCTGGCTCTACCTCTGATAGGAGATGCCTCTACATTGCCTTGGGCTTTAGTGTCCTCATCTTTGAAATGGGCTACCTCAAGTGGGAGGGTTAAATTAAACAACACGTTAAAGGGCTCAGCACATGGCAGGCCCATGGTAAATATTAGCCATCGTCATTGAGAACATTAGTAGCCTCTCCTGGGTATCAGGACCTATGGTCCAGCCCGTGCCAAGGTTACGTGGTAGAAAGAGCCCCAAATGGGAAGCCAGGTGCAAAGCAGAAGACCTATGCCCAGGCCCTGCTGCTTCCAGGTAGGAGGGACCCAAGAGCCAGTGCTGGGCAGACTTCCCCACTTTCCTCAAGAGGCCGCAGGCACACAGCTGCCCGCTGCACCCATAGTGCCCTTTTAGATGGAGCCCTGCGAGCACCTCCTGCTGAGGCCCCACCGGAAGCTGGTCGGCCTGTTTGGGGCACCCCCTCATGGCCAGGGTGGGAACTGCAAGCCACTGAAAGCATGTTTGCACACTTGGGGGTGCTAGGGATGGGACAAGGTGGGAACCAGAGTAAACGAGTCATTGCCTGCCTTGGGGCCACAGAGGCTATGAGGGCACTGATTTCATCTTCCTAAACTGCAAGTCTTCTATCCAAAACCTCCAGTCCCCTGAGGATCCTACTAAAGATCAGTCCTCCACAGATGGGGCCACTGGGAATATCTTGAATTACGCCTACCTCTTGCTCCCCACCTTTAACTGGACATACAGGGAGCCCATGCATCTGGTTTGGGTGTTTCTCTGTCCTGAGGGGGGAGGGGCAGTTAGGACACTTGAGTTGATACCCTGCCCCTGCCCCAGGGCATGGGTCCCTGCTAAGACCTTCCCCTATTACAGGACATGTCATCCCCTCTCCCCGGGCCCTGGAGCCTCAGTGCAGAAGCAAGAGCCCAGCTCTGCAGCTGACACACGGTGACTTCTGACAATCCCTTCCCTTCTCTGGTGCTCAGGAGCCCCATCTGTGCATGGCAGGGGGGAGGGGGAAGAGGGGAGACGGGAGCAGAGGTGCCAAGGACCTGGCTGTGCATCAGAAGCCCCTGAGCACCCTGTTAAAACTCAGACTCCAGGGCTCTGCCCCTGGCAGCTCTGACTCGGTAAGTCCCAGAGGAGGCCTAGGGGTCAGTATTTTACCAAGTTTCCTAGGTGATCCGATGCTTGTCCGGGAACATAATCTGAATTGTTCTAAAGATAAAAAACTTCCGTGGATTTATTCAGCTCTGGAGATAAGTATCTAAGGTCCACCTGCTGGAAAGTTATAGGACCTGTGGTTTCGATCCTTCATTTTGCTGCTTCGGCCTTTCTGTAATCCTAGAGGGTGGAGCCTGAGCCCTTTATTGTAATTCACAATGATGAGCATCACAGCTACATGCATGGAGCATCTGCTGCACTCCAGGCCTGTGCTAAGGGTTTAACATGCATCGTTCCATGTACTCCCCAAAGCAGCTTCTGGGTTAGATACTGCTGTTCCCCCTTTTTTACAAACGAGGATATTGAGGCTCAGAGAGCTTAAGTAACTTGCTCAAGGTCACTCAACTAATAAGGGGCAGAGTTGGGACTACTAGACACTAGTCCAGAGTCCATGCTCATGACGGCAGTGAGTACCACAGGAGTGCCAGGTTCAAGAGCAGGTCTGTGTGATTCTGGGGCCACCGTGTGGACCCCCGCACTGCCCAGCCTGGCAGAGAGGTAGCCAGCTGTGAGGGTCTCACTGGCCACCTTGAATGACCATGGCTGAGTGGGGTCTCTGTCTCTGCAGGTGTGTGCCCAGCTGTGCCCAATGCCGTGTGCCTGCCCCTGGCCGCCGCCCCAATGCCCACCGGGGGTGCCCCTGGTGCTGGACGGCTGCAACTGCTGCCGGGTATGTGCACGGCGGCTCGGGGAGCCCTGCGACCACCTCCACGTCTGTGACTCCAGCCAGGGCCTGGTGTGCCAGCTCGGGGCGGGCCCTGGAGGCCAGGGGGCCGTGTGCCTCTGTAAGCAGGTTTGCGGGACTGATGGAGGGTGTGGTTGGAGGGGAGGGGTGGTCAAGGCCAAAGTGTCCTCAGTCAAAGGGAAGCCTTTCTCTCCCTACCTTTTACCTTCACTTCAGATCCGTCATCCAGTTCAGCCAAACCTGGTTACACAAGGTTCCCTAGGCCCACTCCCTGCTTCTCTCCTCTTGTATTTACTATGACCATGCGAACACCTGAACAGCCTTCCTCCGTTCCTACCTGCCCAAATCATAGCCATAACCTCCTCCTCTGAGAAGCCCTCCAGTATTCTTCTAACCAGAAGTCATCACCCCCTCCTCAGGACCCTAGAATACTTTTGGGAAAATAAAAGTGCAACAACCCCTTATTGAGGGCATAATATATGCCAGGCACTTTGCTAAGCACTTACTACATAAATCACAATAATCCTAGGAGGTAAGTACTTTCAGACCCATTTTATAGATGAGGAAACTGAGGTTCATCGATATTAACGGACAAGCTTAATATCGCACAGCTTGGGACCTGTTCCAACAGGCTCTATAGCAGCGGTTCTCAACCTGTGGGTCGCGACCCCTTTGGCGGTCGAACGACCCTTTCACAGGGGTTGCCTAAGACCATCCTGCATATCAGATATTTACATTACGATTCATAACAGTAGCAACATTACAGTTATGAAGTAGCAACGAAAATAATTTTATGGTTGGGTCACCACATGAGGAACTGTATTTAAAGGGCCAGAAGGTTGAGAACCGCTGCTCTAAAGCAACATTCTGTCTCTCTTCCTCCTGGATCCGGAGCCCATAGTTTGCATTTGCCAGTGACCCGGAGATCCTCCGTCTTCCACACTCTCCGGCCCCCGGGCCCCTGATGCTTTCGATGGGGTTCTCAGCGCCACACTAGGGACATTTGGGACCAGATCATTCTTGTTGCGGGGCTTGTCCTGTGCTTGCTAGGGCATTTAGCAGTGTCCCAGGTCTCAGTGTCCCAGGTCTCTGCCACCAGATGCCAGTGGCACCCTCACCCCCAAGTTATGACAATCTGTCTCTCCCCGGGGAGAAAATCATCTCCAGCTGAGACCTCGCTGCTTTAGAGAAACAGAAAGAAGCAAGGAACTGTAGAAGCAAGGAACTGTTCCTCCCTTCCTCCCTTCCTCCCTTCCTTCCTCCCTCCTTCATTCTCCCCCCAACCCCCTTGCTCTAATAAGCCTTGTTGAGCAATTGATCTCTTTCATCTACGTGCATGTCACACTTCTATACAAATAAGAACAAGAGAGAGGGGCGCCCGTGAGTCCTTCTATAGGAAAAACCCTGCTAACAAGCAAAACAACAAAACTTGGAGACAGAAAGTTATCCTTAGTAAATCCTTGTTAAATACTTTACTGGATCAGAGGCGTATAATAATAAGAAAGGGGCGATTTGTAGATAAACTCATAGAAGATTGCTAATTTAAAAAGTGCCTAAAGAGAGAAATGAGACAAGAACATAGCTTATCAGGCTGATGCTTAGATCAGCCACGGCACTTGTCAGAGTTTACTTATTGCACAGCACTTAGTACGTGCCAGCCACTAGGGGTTTCACAAATCCCACCTCGTTTGACCTCCCGACAACCATGTGATGTAGGCACAGATGCTATCCTTATGTTATAGATGGAAAAAGGAGGCACAGAGAGGTGAAGCTACTTGCCCAAAGTCACACAGCTCATAAGTAGCTGAGCTGGGATTTGAACCCAGGAAGCTGGCTCCACAATCTTAGTGTCCATTGCTCTACTGCTTGACACCGAACATATGCTTGGTACCTAGTGGCTGCTATTGCCAAGAACTTCACTCAGGGGCCTTTTTCTTTATTTATTCCATCTCGATTCAGACTCAAACACCTGGAGGCCAAGGATTTATTTGGTTCTTGTTCCTTCCTGCAACTCCCAGTCCCAGTCTGGCAACATGGTGGATGCTCATGAATGTCTAATGATATGAACTGAATTTGGGAGCTGGGAGCTGGTGAACCCTACAGGTGGGCCAGAGCCAGCTAAGATGTCACAGGGGTTGAACTAGGTCCTGGCTCTGGGGGGACACCAAGCCCCTGGCTTCCCTCTAGTGACCTGATCCTGTGGCTCTCTTATCTAACTCCCTCCCTCCCTCCTGCTCTCTGCTCCAGCCACACTGGCTCTTTGCTGCTCCTTAAATGCCCCAGGCACGTGCCCACCTCAGGACCTTTGCACTGGCCTCGGTACTGTGTTCTTTGCCTCCTTCACATCTTTGCTCAAATATCACCTTCTCAGTGAGGACTTCCCTGATCAACAAACACATTTAAAAACTATAATCCTGCCCCACTCCTTAACTCTGCCCTCCTTTACTTTTCCAGAACGAATCACAAATTCTACATACTTGTTATTGTATTTATTTCCACTAGAGCAACATCTCCAATGAGGGCAGGATTTTGCCTGTTTTAGTCATTGCTGTATCACAAGTGCCTAGAACAGTGCCTGGTGCGTAGTAGGCAATCGATAAGTAACTGTTGAATGAATGAACGAATGAGTTCATGAATGAATAGTAACAATAGTTCTCGTGGGGCTAGCAATAACAGCCACCATTCATTTATTAAGCATGCACTGTGAGATAGCCCTTCATGCACATGATTTAATTTTAGCCTTTAGTAATGAAGTAGGTCCTATTATTATCCCTATTTTGCAGATGAGGGAACTGGGGCTCAGAGAGGTTAAATCACTGCCTAAGGTCACACAGCATGCAAGCAGATAAAGGTAAAAAACACACACACACAAAATAAAACAAAGCAAAGAACCTGTGTTGTTCCTTCTCCTGTAGGGGACTCTCAGAGGGAAGAAGGATTCTGAAATCACCAGATGACAAAACTGTGCTCTGAAATTATTTGGGGAGGGCATTGGCGAGGGTCCGGAAGGAGGAGTAAGGTCTGGGCAGCTGTCAGTGTGCACGGATGGATGGTGGGGGGCCCATGACTGAGTAAGTGTGGAGGTACCTCGTGCTGTTGGGACCATGCCCGAGTGCACCAGGGCTGGGGAGTGGCTGCCCAGGCGTGAACCCCCCATCCTCCCACAGCCCGCTCTGAGCTGAAGGACCCAGGAGAGGCGCCAGGAAATCTTGCTAAAATTATAGCTGACTTTCCTAAACAGTCCCTCTGTTTACCAGTTTATCTCAGCAACCAAGAGGCCCGGGGCCATGGCACCATGGCACCAGGGCGGGGAGACGGGGCTTGGCCAGGCTGGGGCGGTATAACTGCCCCTGCAGTTTTTAGGAAACCAGTGGCCACAGGGTCCAGGCCAAACGGCTGGGATTGGAGCGAAAGGGAAGGAGGAAGGAGGGAGTACTGATACAGGTCCTGGTCCCTCTGAGGAAGAAACGTCACCCACTCCCATTTATTGAGCATCTGCTATGTTCTGAGCTTGGGGCAAAAGGCTTGGAGGTGGCTGGCTCATTCAATCCTCCAGTGGCCCGGGTACCACGGCTCAGAGAGGTGAAATACTTGCCCTCAGCTTGCAAGTGGGGAACTGGGGCTTCTATATGGTTCCCAAACTCCTGCATGTGTACGGACTGTTTGAGGTTTTTCTCTGAAGACCTGGGAAAACGGCTTCCCTTCCCAGACCCAGCGGAACTGCCACCACGTCTCCAGGAAGCTTCCTGATGGCTCCTGTCTTTGCACTTCAGCGGCTCCCACGCACCGCTCCGGGGCAATTGATTGTATCTTGGAGATGAGGACTTGCACATCTGTCTCCCGCTCTGGCCCCCGAGTCTCCCCAGGCGAGGACTGTGTCTTAGTCCTGTCTAGGAGCACAGCGGTTGGCACACAGACAGGGCACAATCCATGTCTCGGGAATTATAAGGAGTCAGAACTATGTTATCAGTGTCTCATATGCTGGGCTCTGTGCCAGGCATTCATTCAAAGGACATGGAGTGTGCCATTCATGCTGTGAGCCAGCACAGGGAATGCCAGGATGAACACTCTCAGGCCCAGCCCTCAAGGAGTTCGTGTCTAGCAGAGCAAGTGGTATTAGTGCCCATGTCTTGGGGGCTTCGTTCGAAGAGTGTTTCCTGAGCACCTACTATATGCCTAGCCCTATGCTAGATGCTATGCACCCATTATCTCATGTCACGGAAGGGGGTGGTTGCTGTTCTCATCATTGCTGCTCTTAGGGTGACTCAGAGAAGTTAAGTAGCTCTCCTGAAGTCACACAGCCAGCAAGGCAAGCCCTGACCTGACAGTATGACTGCACAGGCAGAGGGACAACGGAAGTTTGCTGCATGAAATCCCAGTGTGCACATCCGTTACCCATTGTTAATATATCATAATTATACTAATAACTACAACAGAGCAGAGTCTGCTTTTGGTTGTAGTCATTACATATATCGTGGTGTTTAGTCTATACCACAACCCCATGAGATACAGGGTGGGGCACAAGTAGGTTTGTAACTGTATGTGAAACAGAGTTTATTCTTGTGTCATTATTTGTTAATTATTGTATTGCTTATATTGCAACTGTAAACCTACGTTTGCCCACCCCTGTTAGTACCATTGTAACCCATTTTGCAGGAGAGGAAACTGAGGCAAGAAGTGAAATCACTTGGCCAAGGTCCATAGCTAATCAAGGGGCTCAGACCAGGCAGGTCTTCTCGCCAACCCTGTGCCAGGATGCGGTCGGCCACGCTGGCTTCCTGCAGGTGCCAGGGCAGCTGGCCACGGGAGGGGGTGTGTGTGGCTGGCTGGAGCCCCCGGCAGTGCTCAGATGCCTCAAGGGCACAGCCCCCCAGGGGGACCGGGGCCAGTTCTGCAGACAGAGCCGCGCGGAGGATGTGGCCGGCCCAGCCGTGCCCGGGGAAGGTCGGGGGTCACCAATGGGCCCTCTTTCTCCTCCGCAGGGGCAGAGGATGACGGGAGCTGTGAGGTGAACGGCCGCCGGTTCCGGGATGGGGAGGCCTTCCAGCCGCACTGCAGGGTCCGCTGCCGCTGCGAGGACGGCGGCTTCACCTGCGTGCCCCTGTGCAGCGAGGACGTCCGGCTGCCCAGCTGGGACTGCCCGCACCCCCGGAGGGTGGAGGTGCCGGGCAAGTGCTGCCCTGAGTGGGTGTGCGACCAGGCAGGGGCGCTGGGGGGCCAGCCCCTCCTGGCCCCAGGTGAGTGCAGGGCCGCCCAGGCCCCGGGGCAGGGCGCCTGGAGGGCGGACCTCTGCGGGCAGCCGCCTGCACACACCAGAGGGAAGGTTTTAGCGGCAGAAGCGGGCGGGGGCGCTGGCTGAGGAGACAGGAACGCGGAGAGGCACAGACCTCTTTACAACCAACTAAACAACAAACAGTGGGCGTGTCATTTTAAGTCATAAATAAATAAGTCCAAATTGTGGCAGAGCGGAGAAGGGTAAGGAGGGTTGGAATACTTGAACCAAATTCTTACATTTCATAGCGAAGTACACTATTATAATATACATTCTTTTATACCTAATTGGTACATATTAATAATATATTTATATAACATGACAAATATCCTAAAATATATAACACTAATATAATACTATTGGGCTTATCAACAGAGGAACTCAAAACTGAACATAGCAACGTGGTTGACATGAGCCTAGGGGTGGGCAGGGGCGGAGAAAAGACAGTTACCTTCTGCCATAAATTCTTCAGGTTTAGAGACTTTGTTGTTGACATGTTGCGGATTTGTAAAAATTGTTATGATGTGATTTTTTTTTTTAAAAAAGGGAAACTGAAAAGAGAGCACTGACCCCACAGATGATGGTGCCTCCTGGGAGGCGGTAGAGCGTGGTGGCTAAGCATGAAGTCGGCCCGGATGCTAAGGCCAGTTAGGCCACTCCCGCGCTGTGTGACTCTGAGAAAGTTGCTTAACGTCTCTGTGCCTCGGGTCCTTCAACTGTAAAATAAGTGTCCACCTCATAGAGTTGTTGCAAGGACTGGAGGAGTTAACGCAAGTAACGCAGTTAGGACCGTGCCTAGCGCACAGCGCTCCACTGGTGGCAGCTGTTATTCCTACAGAACGTGACACGGCCGTTTAATCCACGGGAGAACGCCATGAGTCCACCTTCTGTATAAAAAGCAGGATAGGACCCATGTGTGCGATTTTATCTCCATTATGTGCATGCGTATGTGTGTGTCTGCAAGTAAATGTACATGCACACATCATACATGCTGCGCACACGTGCATATACCACAGGGTTTCTCCACGTTGGTGCTGCTGACATTTGGGTCGAGTGATTCTTCAGTGAGGGGCCGCCGTGTGCATTGTAGGATGTTTAGCAGCATCCCTGTCTACCCCTGTGGCAACCTCCCTCAATTGTGACAACAAAAAACGTCTCCAGACATCGCCAGGTGACCCCTGGGGGACAATGTCGCCCCTGGATAAGGACCACTTGTAGGAAGGGCCAGAAGGAAGGACAACAAGCGATTAGCCGAGAAGAATAAAACGGGAGGAGGGAGCCCAGACCCTGGTGAACCCGCCATGGTGTTCCAGGCGCGGCCTTGGGGTCACTAGCATCCCTGTTGCGTCACACGGGCTGCAACCTCCTGTAAAAGGAGAAGCCCACTGGTCACTGGGGGAGGGCCATGCCAGCACCGTCAGAGTAACCTGATAACCATCATGTATGAGGGGTTTACAAGTACCGGGCACGATGCTAAGTACTTCACCTCCTCCATTATTGTATTCAGTCCTAACAAAGATCAGAGCATTTACTCAGTGTGGCAAGCACCAGGCACTATGCTAAGTACTTCACCTGCTCCTCTCGATACTAAAAAGACTAGGAAATTGACACAGGGAGGAACTGAGGTCCAGAGAGGTGAAGCAATGTGACCAAGATTGTACCACAGCCCGGAGGGCAGATTTGGCTGCCAAGTCCTGACCCAGTGCTGACCCTTCTTTCTTCCCTCCAGGACTCCAGGCTGCTGGCCTTGTCGCTCCCCTACCTCCTGGGGTCCCCTGCCCAGAATGGAGCACAGCCTGGGGCCCCTGCTCGACCACCTGCGGGCTAGGCGTGACCACCCGCGTGTCCAACCAGAACCGCTTCTGTAGACTGGAGACCCAGCGCCGCCTGTGCCTGCCTGGGCCCTGCCCACCTGCCAGGGGCCACAACCCCCTACTCGGTGCCTTTTAGAGATGGCCCAGCGGGCAGCCATCCAGCTCTGGTGCTCCCTCTGGGCCCTGGAGGACAAGAATGTCACAGCAGCCTGGGCCCTCTGGACCCTGAGATAGACCGGGGATGCATGCCTTCGTCCTGTTCCCTCTAACTCCCAGCCTGGGGGAAGGGGGGAGGACCAGTTTCTAGGGCCTTCTGCTCCATTCCCAGCCTGCACACAGTCTTTACCCAAGGTGCACGGGGGTGGCCATCTCTGCTTAACCATCAGGCTCGGGCCGGTACTGGGCTGCACTGGCCATTTTCCTGGGGTGTGGGAAGAGGGCCCAGATCTGAATCTCCTGCATCCTCTCCTGTGGTGATGCAGACACCTCCCTGCGCCTGCGCCTGTGCAGGAAGCTGGGTGTGGGGCGCTGTCTGAGAAAGCCTTCCCCATCCCGGGCAGAATTCAGGGGCCGAATGCTTTGTGAAAATCGCAAGACGAAATCATGTCTTAGGAAGGTCCATTACACTCAGCTTGCATGGTGAGCATCACCTTCACTGAGCGCCCGCGTGCCGGCACTGAGCTAGGCACTCCGCATAGATCCGCGCTTCGCAATATTTGGATTCAAGCAAAGCAGGGGAGAGTGTCCTCCGGGGACCGGGGAACATGGTCTGAAATAAACCAGCCCACGTGTGAAGTTCTGTTCGAAGTCTCGTGTTTAATTGTGTAAAAGACCTTACCTGTAAGTTTATATCCTCCTCTGTGACCTACTGTGTCTGTTCGAAAATAGAAACTGTGTTTTCTTCAGGATTCAACGAGGACATTAGAAAACACACAGTCAGACACACAGGTCTTAAGTGTAGGATTGAACGCGTTTTCATAACGCACACACCTATGTAACACACACCGCAATCCAGGCATAAAGCCTTCCCACCGCCTCAGAGCTTCCTCCCGCCCCTTCCGACGCACCCCTCCGCTTCCTGAGGGCTGACTGGCTTCTGTCACCACAGACTAGAGTTGCCTGTTCTTGAACTTCACATAAATAGAATTGCACAGTAGGTACCTTTAATGAATGGCTTCTTTTGCTCAGTATCAGCTCTGGGGTGGAGGGGCCGAGGGGCTGAGGGAGGGCAGAGTCCAGAAGCCAGGACCAGCCAGTGGGAGATGGAACCACAGCGGGGCTGTCTGCCTGGAGCAGGAGCCTCTGAGGAGATGCAACCATGTAGACTAGTGATGGCGAACCTTTTGAGCTCGCGTGTCAGCATTTTGAAAAACCCTAACTTAACTCTGGTGCCGTGTCACATATAGAAATTTTTTTATATTTGCAACCATAGTAAAACAAAGACTTATATTTTTGATATTTATTTTATATATTTAAATGCCATTTAACAAAGAAAAATCAACCAAAAAAATGAGTTCGCGTGTCAGAGGTGTCATAGGTTTGCCATCACTGTTCTATGCAGTGTCTCACTTGACCCCACTATAACCCTTTAAAGTAAGTATAAATGTGCCCATTTCATAGACAGAGGCACTGAGGTACCAAGAAATGAAGGAAATAGCCCAAGTGTACAACAGTTCGAAGTTGGCAAAATCAGTATTCAAACCCAGAGCGCCAGCTCCAGAACCCGCGCTCCTGGGCACCAGGCCACACTGACCAAAGTCACTACCGTGTTCGGGGGTAAGGTGCAAGGGCTTGGAGGAGACACTGAGAGTGGGAGGGAAGAACCGGAGGAGGAGATTCCGCAGGGCCTGACCACACTGGCGGATCTTGTGTGAAGGATGGATATGACGAGCAAGGAGATGAGACCCTAAACATGTCCCTGGGCTTTCTGCTGGCGGGTGGGGAGGAAGGGGGCCGTGGACAGAAGCCAGGAAGAGCAAAGATGAGCCCCACAGCTGGCAGGTAGGAGAGGGCATTTCAGGTGTTTTAAGTTTGAAGAAGAAGTGGTCACCAGGACAAGGGGAGGTTGGAAATCAAAGATGGGTCAGGTCTGACACAGAGAAGAGTTGAGGTCGAGAATTTGAGTCATCTGCAGAAAGGAGAGGAGTAGGGAATGAGATTGGAAGGGCCAGTTTAGTTAGGGACACAGACAACCAGAATGTGTGTCCGTTGGTGTGTATAACCTGTTATCACCCCACCCGATCCCACTGCTCCCCGCTGGCTGGGCCATCGTCAGCTCTGCCCAGATGATGCAGTAGCCTCCTCCTGGTCTCCTGGCTTCCACTCTTGCCCCTTACAGTGTGTGCCAGAGGGACCCTGTTAAAACCAAGCCAGACAACACCACTCCTTTCCCCTCTGAGAAAAGCGAAAGGCCTTCACACAACCTGCAAGCCCCACTCTGCCCCAGTCAGCCCTCTGTCCTCGCCCTCAATTACTGTCCCTCTTGCTCATGCTGCTCAGACCTCACGGCCTCCCTGCTGTTTCTCAAACACATTAGACATGCACCCGCCTCAGGACCTTTGCACAGGCTGTTCCCTCTGCCTGACATCATCTTCCCCCAATCTCCCCGATGCATGTAGCACATACCACCTTTTAACACATTACATGACCTACTTATAACATTTATTATTTTTGCCGAATTACACAAGCACTGGGACCTTATCTGCTTTGTTCACTGATGGATCTCCGGGACCTAGAATAGTGCCCAGGAGGCTCAGTTGTTATTGAATAAATGAAATAATATATCTTGCTTTTTTATTTTTTAAAATATATTTTATTGATTTTTCTACAGAGAGGGAGAGGGATAGAGCGCTAGAAACATCGACGAGAGAGAAACATCGATCAGCCGCCTCCTGCACACTCCCCACTGGGGATGTGCCCGCAACCAAAGCACATGCCCCCGACCACACTCGAACCTGGGACCCTTGAGTCCGCAGGCCGACGCTCTATTCACTGAGCCAAACCGGTCAGGGCTATATCTTGCTTTTTAAAAGGGGATTTAATGATGCATTAAAAAGTAAATGTGTAGTTGACAAATGGGAGTGGCTGCCCAGTTCACAGTGATTTCTCAGTGTCACATCAGCGTGGGTCAGAGCTCACCCCCACCTCTGCCCCAATCATCAACCTCAGTATTTCTGAGTGGGGTACCCAGGCCAGAAGTATCAGCATCACCTGGCACCTGGTTAGAAATGCAAACATCTTGTGGCGCATTCCAGGCTCACAGACTGTGGGGGTGGGGCTCATAAATCTGTGTTTTAATAAACCCTCCGCCTCATTAAAATCTAGGTCACATTACAGTGTGATTCCAGACAAGAATCCGAAGAAAACGTGCTGTGCTGCTGCCCCCTTGTGGCATTTTGGTGCATGAACCGCGGAGAGGCCGCCAGCCTGGAGGAGCCCTCGCAGACTGGGGTCCAGCTGCCTCCTGTTTCCCAGGTGGAGAAACCGAGTCTTGGGGAAGGGAGGCACCTTGCCCAAGGTCTCAGAGTGGGGCAGTGATAGGTCTAGGCGTAGGACTCTTTCCTATTTGTGACCAATGCAGCAGCTTTCTTTTTTCAAAACACTAAACAGATGCCATAAGGGCCCCTGCTGCGCCCTGAGCCAGGGCGCCTCCATCTGTCCCCTGGCTGACTCCCTGGTCCCTCTGCCCACGGTCCAGCTCCCTCCTCCCAGCGGCTGTACTGCACAGCCAGAAAGATCCTTCTAGAGCACAATTATGGTTTTGTCACTCTGCCTGAACCCCGCTGGGGCTCAGCATGGCCCTCTGGGTCCAGTCCAGACTCCTTCCATGACTCACGGGCCTGCTGGGCCTTCCAGTCTCTTCTGTGCTCCAGCCACACTGGACAGCTCAGAGGGCCACGCCCTCTGCCCAGGCCTGTCCCCAGGCTGCACCCTCTGCCTGGGGCACCCTTTCCCCAGCACCTAGAGGACCCCTGATTATTCCCCATTCGTCACAGTTTCCATGTCTACCTGAGGCCAGCCCGCCCCAGTGCCCTGGCTCCTATGCCCTCTCGCCTGCCCGGGGGCATTCTACCCCTCCTCCCCCCACACCGTCCATGTCTCCCTTCCTTCCAGATAACCCCCGTCAATATACACCCGTGCTGGTCCTTTGGCTGGTGCTGTGAAGGGTGCAGCCACCAGCCCATGCCCATCCTGACTGCTCTGGTAACAAGAGGTGGGGTGCCTGCTTCAAGGGGCAACTGCAGCAGCCTCGCTGGGAGTACCTGGGAAAGGGAAGGCCACCTGTGGCCATCGTGTTTCATGTGCCATCAAAAGCCCACTTGCCGCTCCTTGGCAGAAATGTGGTCTAGGGTCTGAGCCAGTCTCCGCGGGTCATGATTTAGCTAATTCTGGAGAACGCATCTTTTCCCTCATCCCCTGCAGTTCATTATAATATCAGGGAGGACCCAGGGCAGGAGCCTAGGCCTCTTGGACACCTTGAGGTCGGCCAAGGAACCTCGTTGTCAGTGGCCCCATCGCACTGGTTTGTGGCTTCTTGTCTGTGGCCCATTCACTGGTTTCTGGCCCCTCGCCACTGGCTTTCATAAAAACGCTTCCCATCTCATCACCAGGCCAGGTCTTTTCATCCAAGCCCATTCTCTGCTGGACGGGCAATACCTAACATGCGCTTCTTCCGTGGCTTCTCTGCAGCCCTGAGCCAGCAGGCGTCAAACACAAGTGGTTGGTTTTGCCTTTCACACGCTTCTCACCTCAAGGACTGGACCTCCATGGCTCGATTACTCTCCTGCACCCTCCCCTCTCTGAGACATCCCATTCATGGCTGCTTGGGCTCCCTTCCGCTCTTGATGCCTGCTCTGTGCTCCACTCTCAGCCTCATTGAAGCCCAAGGTTTTACAACCTGGTGGCAGCCACCCTACCTCCACAACCTCGCCCTTATCCGGGTCTCAGTGCGACCCCTGTGCCCTGTAAAGTCCCCCTCGGCCCGTTCACCAGCTCAGCCAGGTTTCTCGGGCATTTGAATTTGATCTCCAAAAGAAATACAAATATATTTTAAAATCTCATATCAACTGTCATCTTTGTAATGTTTCTTTAATCATTGTGATGTTCGAGCTGCTGGGTCCAGCCATGCCTGAAGCCATACATCCCAACACCGTTTAGCTATGTGACTCAATAAATTCTCTTTATTACTTAAACTAGTTTAACTGGGTTCCTATCACTTGGACTAAAAGAGTCGCAACAAATCTAACTACAGTAGGTCCTCGGGTTACATCAGAGATCCGTTCCTACGGTGCGAGGTAACGCGATTTTCGCCATAAGTCGGAACCCACCTACATAAGCACCTACGTCACTCACATGGAGCACAGCGGTAATGAAGTGAAAGAGTAAAAAAAAAATTAAAGGAAAGATAACAATTCCTGACGTTTACTTGTGGTAAATAAATAAAAAACATAAAGCACATGTGTACATACGTCGAAATGGCGGAACATTTTTTTAATATAAATAAATGGGAGATGGCAACGTAACCACAAAACAACGTACGTCAAGTCCGACGTCACCCGAGGACAGTCTGTATATACAGTCATGTACTTACCTGCCCATTCTCGGCTTTTAGGTTGGGCTTTGCACCCTAGACGTGGAGTAGATTTCTGATCATTCCTCTGCCCCTAGAGCCCGGCACGGGGCCTGGTACATGGTCACTATTTACCTACATGCCCGCTGAACAGTGACCGAGGCCTGGGTTCTAGCCTTGACTCTGCCTCCAGTTTGTGACTTGGAGCATCCAACTCTCCTTTCTGAGCCGTTTCCGC